GCTTTGTGACATTCTTCGCAGGATCCCTAACAGGAACGTCCCAGTGCTGCAGTGGCCAGCAGTCAGCAGGAGGGGAAGTGGACCCGAGTGAGGGCATTTCTGCTGCTCCATCCTGCCAGGCTGGGGTGGCCGGGTGCAGCAGCAGGGCCTGGAGCTGACTCAACTCCTGAACACAAACAAGCATCCACCGAGATTTGGGCCAGGATGTAAACAGGGCCACCTTAGGGGCACTTCCACTTCAGGAGGACAAGAGACTGAGTTCTGTGGAAATTCAGGTTGCATCACTGCTCAGCCAAGCTGGAAACACAAGACCAACAATATTCCCAAGAAGAACCAAACTCGTTATCTGGATAATGCTATTGTCAGTGTGAACAGCAAACACATTTACAGGACTTTGTGAAACCCTGTGCTTTGCTGTGGCGGTGGGGAGCCGGGGAGAGATACAGTTTGCAACATTTGTTCTCCCTAAATGCAGATCCAAATTCACTAATAAAACGCAGTGCTATGTAGCACACTTTCTTGACAGCAAAGAAGCTGTCCACGGACCAACAGAAGTCTGTCCATGACCCAAGTGTTCTTCAGGATTTTTTTTTTTTTATTTGACAGGTAGAGTTATAAACAGTCAGAGAGAGTTCATCCCCCAAATGGCCGCCACGGCCAGCACCACACCAATCTGAAGCCAGGAGCCAGGTGCCTCTTCCTGGTCTCCCATGCAGGTGCAGGAGTCCAAACACTTGGGCCATCCTCCACTGCCCTCCTGGGCCACAGCAGAGAGTTGGACTGGAAGAGGAGCAACCGGGACTAGAACCCAGAGCCCATATGGGATACCGGTGCTGCAGGCAGAGGATTAACCAAGTGAGCCATGGCGCCAGCCCCGTTCTTCAGGATTTTATAATCTAGTATCATAATTTTATTTCTCCCCCAATCTACCCACCAAGCCCTTGTAAATGCAAATTATTATTGCTCTTTTAATTATTTCTAAACAGAAAAATTCATCCATGCAATAAACAGCAAGTGAGTAAAATACAAAATGTAAACACTATATAAAATTAAATATCATAAAGAGGACAAAACAAAATGTATACATTCTTATTGTTTCTTACATTTCATTGTTCTTTCTGATACATCGCATACAGGGGCTGGTGCTGTGGCATATGAATAAAGCTGTTGCCTGCAGTGCCGGCGTCCCATCTGGGCGCCGATTCAAAGACCAGCTGCTCCACTTCCAATCCAGCTCTCTGCTGTGGCCTGGGAAGGCAGTGGAAGATGGCCCAACTCCTTGGGCCCCTGCACCCGTGTGGGAGACCCGGGAGAAACTGCTGGCTCCTGGCTTTGGATAGGCCCAGCTCGGGCTGTTGAGGCCATTTGGGGAGTGAACCAGTGGATGAAAGACCTCTCTCTGTCTTTGTCTCTGCCTCTGCCTCTCTCTAACTCTGCCTTTCAAATAATTTTTTTTTAAAAAACACATACAGTCTGTGGTAGTTTCAAAGTAAATCAGCAAAATATCTTTATTTCATCTCCACACTTAAATACTAATTTGTCTACAGAAATATACATTTAAAGTGCTTTTCGCTTTGCTTTCCAGTACTGGAAATTTTTGGTTCCAGAGTTACTGATGAGAAGTCTGCTCTAAGTCATATTTTTAGTAATTTTTTTTTCTCACCAGTAAATTTTGGGATTCTTTTCTATATTTTGAAGTCCCCCAAATTTTTCTACAACATCACAGTATGGCTCAGCACTTGGTAACTGTTTCATTTTTGAAATTTTATGTCTTTTTTTTTTATTAGTTCTAAGAAATTCTTAGATATTATTTATTCAGCATTATCTCTATTTTCTCCTCCATGAGCTCCCAATCGTTAGATATTGGTAGATCTAGAGCTATTCTCCATTATTCTTTTTTCCTGCTATTCTTTTATTTATTAAAAATCTTTAGCATCTATATAAAATTGTATATGTTTACAGTATACTATGTGATATTTCAATGTATATATAGATTGTATAATGTTTGATCAGGGCAAACATTCCTATCTCCTCAAACATTGAGCATTTCTTCATGGTGAAAACACCCAAAATATTATCTTCTCGCTTTTGAAATAGAGAGATACATAATACCTATACATTATAGTTACCTTCCTGTGTAATAGAGACCCAGAATTTCCAACACCTAGGTAGTGAAAGCTTAATACCCATTAATGAACATTCCTCCCTCCCTCTGCCCCCTTCCCTCTCTAGCCTCTGTTAACATCTAGATCACCTTTTTTATTTTCTTTAGACTTTACAGATGAGTGAGATAAAGAAAATGGTGTACCTGTGCACGACAGAATATTACTCAGCCATGAAAAAGGATAAAGAACATGGCTAGAACTGGAGGATACGGTGTGCAATGAAGAAAGCCAGGCACACACAGACAAGTGCCATGTGCTCTCACCCATGGGTGCAGTTTCTTCTTGTAAACTTTCTCTTGGCTCTTTTATCTTCTCTTGCAGAACAAGTGCTTGGCCCTGATCTTCCCACATCACTAATCTGCTTTTCCCCCCTTCTATTCTGCTGTGGAGCCGTCTATTAACTACTGAACAGTAACAATTACATGTAGGATCTCCTCTTGGTTCTGTTTTGTAAAATTCAAGATTCTGTTCTTGTTTCATGGATGGAATAATAGATTTTATTTTCCTAAAGATGTGAAGCATTGTTCTTGTAAGAATGTAGTTCCGAGGCTTGGAGACCCTAAGTTCTTGCTCCTGTCTTTCCCAGACTCCCGGCCATCTCTGTGTTACTGTGTCTGCTCGGTCCCGACTGTGAGCTCCCAGCCTCAGCTTGGGAGGCCAGGTTGGGATGAGGGGCTGACGCTGGCGTGGGGCTTGTGCTCTGTGTGGTTTCCAGTGAGAAGCAGGGAACGGGTCAAGCTGAAGCCAGCAGCTGGTCTGCAGAGCTTATCCGGCCCCTCTCGGCAGCTACCTGGGGCCCCTTCCTGTACCCCATCCCAAGCACTGGGCAGGAGGACAGCACAGGCGTCCACGGGATGAACCACGCCCACTACAACCGCTCTCAAAATGCTCATTGGCTGTTCCTGGCTGTTCGCTGCTCCAGGGTTCCGCTACCGGACGCGGAGCCTCATCGTGCTGCACCTGTGTCTTGGTCAAGCCTTTTCTCATGTCCGTCTCAACCCTCACCTTTCAACGTCGCAGAACTTCCACGAAGCCTCTGAGAAATCCTGTTTTCGGGCACGGTTACAGGCTTCTGTGTTCTTCTACAGGAGTTCCGTGATTCTCTAGTCTCGGTGCAGCAGAGGGAACCTGCAGCATATACTACCTGAGTCTGAGGTACTGAAACCAACACATTCTGAACTCTGCCCTCGAACTGAGTGTCCTGAGCAACAAACAGGATCTATGGGAATTAGAGAAAACACGAGCACGTAATGGAGATGCTGCTCTGACTTCCAATTTCCACTCTTCCTCTGTGAAATCTAGATCACAGGAAACTACAGCCCTGACTTCCTGTACAAGTGGCTTCTTCAGGCAGTGGGAGGCACTGGGGAAGACTGGAAGGCGGGTGAGAGAGGAATCAAGGATTGCCCCATGACGTTGCAAATAACCAGGTGCATCTGCAGTGGCCTCGCTTCTGTGGGTCGGCTCCAGCTCTTAGGTTCTGATACCGTCACCTTCTCCCATTGTCCCTCTGGTCCTGGGGTGGAGGCGCTCCTGCTGGCACCAACCTATGAGGGGCTCAGTCAGTCCCTTCTTAGCTGCTTAGCAACACCGTTTTCTGGGTAACTTATTTCCTATCTGAAATTCCTTTTTGTTGAGAGGCCTAGAGTGGTTTTGCTTTCCTGGCTGGATCCCGGCTTGAAGATGAAAATTCTGAAGAAATATTTTCAAAGATGGTAATTGGGAATTCTTTTATCTGGAGGAGGGGTGGGGGGGGGAGCATCATAACGAGGGAATCCTCAGCTTCTTGGTCTCATTACCTAAGCTATCCCAGGTTATTTGAAAACAAGTGACATACAGCCTTAAAAATGTGAATTTTGAGGGGGCAATATTTCCCACTTCAACTGCCAATATGCCACAAAGCAGATTTTAAAGGCAAGCCTTAGGGGCCTATCATATTATTAAGCACAGTGGGTTTTAGCATGAAGCACCGCTTCCCTGGAGGAGTGAAAGCTTTGCATCCAGCAGAAACCTTGTTTAAGATTCCTGCAGCGCTGGGCCCTTCCTCAGGGCTCGCCTTGCAGAAAACCACCTTCACCGTCTGTCTTCTTCACCATGTTCTGTGCTGAGGCTTGGGCGAGACGGCCAGATACCTGTAGAAGAATCTTCCGCGGTTCCGCTTCTCCTTTGGAAGCAGCGCATTCCACTGCTCTCTAAGCCTGATCCGTGAATACCGCCCCACAAGTGCTTAACGAGGCGCACAGAAACAGGCGGGGCTCCGGAGCAGAGGGACCAGGAGGGCCGCCTCTGTGCTGGTGGGCGGCCCCCTGGCCGGCTGCACGTCCAAGGCTCTCAATACCTGCTTTCATTCCCGGTTCCAGTGCCTGAACTGTAACAGATGGGTCATCTACTTAGGAGAGGAGAGTGCTTGCTTTGGCAAGGGATAAATGGGTGCTTGCAGCGAGATGCTGTGAATACAAAAGATGTTTCTGGAACTCTCAGATCTGAGCGCCATGGCTTGGGAGGGGTGTATGTGTGTGTGTGTGTGTGTGTGTGTGAAAACCCATTACACAATGCCTTTTCTTCAGCTGGCATGAGAAGGATAGTCCCATCCCATCTAAGCACTGTGCTGCACTTCCTCAAAGCTGAGGCGGCAGAAACACTGCCAGACCCATCCCGCTTTGCATGGAAAGCCGCCACTCTGCACCGGCGCCTCCGGGCAATTTCAGACAGTCCCGGGAGAACTTCGCGCTTTGAGGTGAATTCATAATGTCAAGGCCAACAAAGAAGTGAACACACAGCTTGCACTGTTAAAGACAAAGAGGGAAAAGAAAAAAAAAAAGTCTGCAGGCTTACTGGTGGAGCTCCGCCTCCGTGAGCGCCTCTGTCCTCAGCTCCCCCGTGACAAGGGCCAGTTCCTCCTTTAGTTCCTGGATTTCCTTTTGGAGGCGTATAATCATCTACAAATAGCAAGGGTGGAGAGTGACTGTCAGCTTCCCACGGAGGTGGACGGGGTGGCAGAGGACATGCACCTTTTCGAGCCATGAGCTGCTTGAACCATATAAAAAGCACTCCTGTGCCTACCAGGCAGCTTTTAAAAATCTCCATATTTTGTGAAAATATTTCCAGAATTCTTTTTTTTAACAAATGAAACATGACTGATGTTCCTGGAACCCTCTTTCCCTGTGGCCCTTCTGTCCTTCCTGGGGTAACCACTTCCCTGCGTGTTTTCAGACCCTTGCACCCTATGAATTTTGCACACCTTACATTTTATGTAACATTACATTATTGCATGTAATGGTGCCTCCTTTTTTCCCTCTACATCATGTTTTTGAGCTTATTTATATTGCTTCGTGTGGCTCTAGTTCATTCCTTTTCATGGATATATAGTATTTCGGTAAAGGGAAAGATCACAGTTTGTTGATCTACATTTAGGATTTTCCCTTTTGCTATGAGGCCTTGCTGAGAATGTTGTAAATCTCTCTGGGCACACACATGAGACTCTCTCCCCGGTGTGCACTCAGAACTAGAATTTCTTGGTAGTGGAGTATTTACAACTTACATTTATTAATTATTATTAAATTGCTCTTCAGAGTACTTATACAAATCTCCATTCCCATCAGCTCCATGTGTACAAACAGCTAAGTTCCTGTTTCCTCACGTTTTTGTTACTGTGTGATATTGGAGGCTCTTTAGTTTCTGCCGATTTTCTCCTAATCTATGTCATGACTTTCACTCTGTGGTGTTCTTTTGGTTAAATGAAACTTCTGTGTCTCAATATAATCTAATTAGCAATGTCTTCCTTTTGTACAACATAAAGAAATTCAAAGCTTTGTTTTTCACATTTAGGTGGGTTTTATTTTGTATAAGGTATGGGATAGGGATCAAAATTTATTTTTATAAGGATAACCACACAATATTTTTGTTTATATTATATGTTTCTACATGCCTGTGTGTCTGTTTCGAGGCTATTAGTTGAAAACATTTCTCTATTTGACAATAAGTATGGCAACACCACTTGTTTCAATTACTGTTATCTTAAATAGTTCTGGCAGTTAGATAAGACAATCTCCTTCTTTCCTGATCCTGTTCAAGATATACTTGCCTATTCTTGGCCATTTACTCCTTCATATAAATTTCAGATGCAGCTCATCAGATTCTACCAATGGGTTTCCTTTACTTTTAACTGGGATTACGTTTAATTACATTTAATTAAAAGGTAAGTCTTACTGAATTATAATATTGAATCATCTCACTGAGGAACACTGATTTCTTCTGATGGGGATTTAAATTTTCTCTATAAATATCTTACTTCTCTAATTAGATATTATACCAAGAATCTAAAAGTTTTTGTTGATGCTGTAAACAGAATTTTTGTAAAATTATGGTTTCTAATCATTGGCTTCTGGCAGATTATGTATCAAATAATTTTTTGAACATTTTGGGGTTTTATTATTAAATACCCTTGGATGTTCTGTATAAGTAATAAAGTCATTTGCAAATAAGGGCTGGCATTGTGGCCCAGGAGGTTAAGCCATTGCTTGCCATGCTGGCCGCCCACATCAGAGCACCAGTCCAAGTCCCAGCTGCTCTACTTCTAATCCAGCTCCCTGCTGATGCTCCTGGAAAAGCAGTGGAAGATGGCCCAAGTGCTTGGGGCCCTGCAACCTCAAGGGAAACCTGGATGGAGTTTTTGGCTCCTGGCTTTGGCCTGGCCCAGCCTGCACTATTGTGGCCATTTGGGGAGTGAATGATGGATGGAAGAGATCTCTATCTCCCTCTCTCTGTCTCTCCTCCTATCCATCTGCATTTCAAATAATTAATCTTTTAATAAATGATAGACATTTTTTCTTCTTTTCTCATCCTAATATATATTTTATTTCTTTCTCATTGTGCTAGCTAGGTCTTCCAAGTATGACTCTAAACTATTCTTGTCTTATTCATTCTAACATTTTACTTTTAAAATTATGTTTACTGTACTTTTGAGTGATACCCTTAGTCAGTTTAAAGATATGCATTTGTGGCCAGTGTTGTGGAGTAGCAGCACTGGCATCCCATATGGGCGCCAGTTCAAGTCCCAGCTGCTCCACTTCCAACCAAGCTCCCTGCAAATGTGCCTGGGACACAGTGGAAGAAGGCCAAGTGCTTGAGCCCCTGTACCCAAGTGGGAGACCTAGAAGAAGCTTCAGGCTCCTGGCTTCAGATCAGCCCAGCTATAGCTGTTACAGCCATCTGGGGAATGAACCAGTGGATGGAAGATCTCTCTCCCTCTCTCTCTCTCTAAGTCTGTCTTTCAAATAAATAAATAAATCTTAAAAAAAAGATATACATTCATATTCACAGTTTAATGAGTCTTTTGAAAGTATAAATGTTTAATGTTATCAAATACTTTTTCTGCAACTAGTTATGAGACCACATAATTTTTCTCTTTTAAACTGCAAAGGTAAAGATCACCTTAATTCATGTGGCTAGTTCTTTTTTTTTTTTAGATTTATTTATTTATTTGAAAGAGTGACACAGAGAGAGAGGAGAGATAGAGAGAAAGAGGTTCTTCATCCACTGATTCACCTCCCAGATGGCTGCAATGGCAGGAGCTGTGCCGATCTGAAGCCAGGAGACAGGAGCTTCTTCTGGGTCCCACACGTGGGTGCAGGGGCCCAAGGACTTGGGCCATCTTCTACCGCTTTCCCAGGCCACAGCAGAGAGCTGGATTGGAAGTGGAGCAGCCGGGACTCAAACCGGCGTCAATATGGGATGCCGGCACTGCAGGTGGTGGCTTCACCCACTATGCCATAGCACTGGCCCCAGCTAGTTCTTTAGTATGAATTATTTCAGATATACCAGACAGTATAGGAGAATATTTAACACTTATGCATCTACCACTTGAAAAATAAAACATTAAGACGCCTTTGAAATCAGCACCCCTCTATAGGCTTTCCTAAAGGATTTTCGCATCATTATCCTAAATTCGATTTTAATTATTCCTGCTTTTTTTCCCCTATGCATTGACGTATTTTCTAGTGATGCATTACCCTTAAATTTCCCAAATAAACCCAACTAGGTTAGGATTTATCATATCAGGGTACAGTCGAGACCATGTAGGCACAGCTTGTAATTAACTTACAATACAGAATTCCTAAGATAAAAATTAGCAGTCTAAATTCAGCTTTTATTTTTTTTTACTTAAAATTTTAAGAAACCGAACTGGGTCTGGCCTCACCTTCCCTTCCCTTCTCCTCTCCCTCCCTTCGTCCCTTTCCTGCACCCTCCCTTCCTCCTTATTTTCCTCCCCTCAACTCTCCCTTCTTCCCTTCTCTCCCCTCCTCCAACCCCCTCCCCTTCCCTCTCCCCTCCCTCTCTTTTCCTGAGCTGTGTTCACTTTCACTAGGGATTACCAGACTAAGGGGGTTGTGTAAATGTGAACTTCGAAACCCAGGGCTTTCTATTTTCAGAGAAGTTACTTTTCGTTCTATCCAGAGTCCAGGCTAAGGGAAATCAGCTGTCCCAATATTTCCCTATGCCAGAGGGAAGAGTCTTCCCTGGTTCACCTGGGCCGGTGTCACACCTGGGAGAGGAGCCGGTGTTTTAGGCGCAGCACTCACCTTGCTGAGTCTCAGGGCTTTGATGTCCATTCCCTTGTTCCAACCCCCTTTACCCTGTACCCCAGGACAACTTCGGCATCAGCTTTGTTTCTGGAAAAGCCCCTTACTTCCTTCCAAACTCATCTAAGTATTTCAAGGAAGCTTCTCTATGGAGTTTTTTTATTGGAGAGTAGCAGGTTATCCAGACCACATCAAGAGGAGCAGGCGTACAAAAGAACTTGATTGTGTGTACTTTGAACATGTCACCGCTCCTGGAAATGTATTTAAATGCCTAGGATTGTGTGGGTTTTGTTGGCTTTCTGGTTTTGAAAAACATTCTCAGAATCACCAAGACAGGCAGAATGAAAGTCTTCAGACAAAAACCATGAAAGTCATTCATTTGCACTTTCCTCTATTAAATGAATATTGATACAGGCCAGCACCATGGCTCATTAGGCTAATCCTCCGCCTGCGGCACCGGCACTCCAGGTTCTAGTCCCAGTTGGGGTGCCGGATTCTGTGCTGGTTGCTCCTCTTCCAGTCTAGCTCTCTGCTGTGGCCCGGGAGTGCAGTGGAGGATGGCCCAAGTGCTTGGGCCCTGCACCCGCATGGGAGCCCAGGAGGAAGCACCTGGCTCCTGGCTTCGGATTGGTGCAGTGCCGGCCATAGCGGCCATTAGGGGAGTGAACCAACGGAGGGAAGACCTTTCTCTCTGTCTCTCTCACTGTCTAACTTTGCCTGTCAAAAAAAAAAATATATATTGATGCAGATTTTCTACTTCCGAGGCTTTCAAAGTCAAATCTAACACCATTTTTTTTAAATCTTATTGAATAGAAATCTCAAAACTTAGGCAGATTTTCATGGTTTTAAGCTTAGAACAGACACACCTCCCATGAGACTCCTGCAGGGACTCTGGAATTAGGGCCGTCCTTACAAGATTTCAGCACATGTCTGGGATACTATGAGCTTGGTCAAGGTTCTTCCAGTACCTCATCGGTCTGAGGCACCCACACTTGTAAACGGAGCAGAGCAAATCTGGTGATCCTGATCGCACAGGCTGGCTCCGCAGCTGCCACTAAATCCTGACAGTAAGATGTAGGAACTCCCACCCAGGCTATATCTTGGATGGGTTTGAGGACAAATTTGCAATTGTCACTTATGCTTCAGTCAAAGCTCTGCACATAAAATAATGAGCAGTGATATCAGTTTTTAGAAGCAATTATGCAAGAGACCAGGAAACAACACTTGTTAATTGCCTGATTATTCTGCATGAAGAGGACCTCAAAATTTATTTAATTATCAGCTATTAGCTTTTGGCTCTGAATTTCTCGTCTTTAAATCTCTACATCAGACACAGGATATTGTTCACCTATCTCCAAATTCCTTCTGTTCCTTCAAAGAATGTCTCTAGAGGAATTTAAAGGGAAAAAAAAAGTCCTCCAACATCTAGTGTGTTTATTTTCCTTAAATTATGAACTAATTTTTGTCTTCAGGCTATCGATAACTCTGCTACTGTTTCTCATTCTGCAGGGTAAGGCCAGAGGCTGCTGGCAGGGTTGGGACAACAGAGAATGTTGGCCTAGGAGTTCAATTCCACTTGAACAAGGCCATTGCATTCTGTGTCCTCTTCCCAGGGAGAGCACTGGTGCTGCTGGTGTCTGAGCCAGGCCGGTACCGGAAAGAGATCCTGCAGCACCCACTGGTTTCCCCTGGACAGAATTCTACAGGGGCGCTTGTTGCTCCTGGTGCAAGCAGGGTGAACTGCCCCTTTCCCTCTATCCTTCCATGGAATGATTTCAAGGGAGAGAGGGCAAATGAGGAAGCAACTGATATGAGTAATAGTGAACTTGAACATTTTTTTTGAATTTGAGAAATTTGTAAATGAAGCACTGTTGATAAGATTTCACATTTCTCTAAGCCTACATTAGTTTATTTCCCAGTGAAATTAAAAAAAAAAAAAACTGGGTGATTTGAAGAAGAATATTATGGGATTTGACAAAATTGAGATATTTTATTTCACCACTTTCAATGTTGGTATGAGTTGGTTCAGTGTTGCATTTCATTTATAGAAAATTAACAAAATGGAGGAAAGAAATTTGTAACTATAATGAGTAGCTGAATCATTTAACTTGTATTTATTTTGCATAAAAAGTGCTTTCATAAAGCAGGATTTAGTCCTATAAAATTAGAAGCTTACTGGTTGTTCCATGGATTAAACTGATAATTAACTTTTAAAAATCTCTGGAATAAGTAACAAGATGGTTATGCAAATATGATTTTATTTATTAGCCATTAAGAGTTTTCTTTCTTCATAAGCTTTTATTAAAACTGGTCTATTATTTCCTTTAGGAAGTTAAATTGAAGCTTTTTGAAAGGCTGAGGCCTGATGAATAAAAATTGTGTAATATTCCATTGTGGTAGTCTTTAGGACTCACAGCATAACTTTGCAGTGGGCAGTGGGGGAGCTAGAGGTAAGCCCACTGACCCCTCAACAGGATGGTCTGTGTTTGAATCCTGGCTTTGCTATCTATTGGTACTGTGGCTCTGAGGAAGTTAGTATCTCTGTGGCTCAGTTTTGTTACCTATACAGTAGAGGGAGGGATGGCATCTACTCATAAGTTTGTTTCGAGAATTAAAGAGTTAATACTCAGAACATCACCTGGTGCAGAGTAAGTCACCCCTCCACCAAGTTGTAACTAATCTTTGATATACTTTGATATGCTTACCAATCTGGGATCAATTTCTTCATTAAGAACAGCTTCATTCTTTATAAGTGCCACGCGCTGTGCAAATCTGCAGGTGGATATAGATTCCTAACAAAGCAAAACACCTTCTTAAAATACCATAGCATACAGAGATTTCCCTGTAGACAAGATGAAATTTTTTTCACAGAAAAAAGATACATACCCAATGAGTGATGTACATAAAACATCACAGTGAGGAAATATGAAGGTACATGAAATGTCTTGGGAAATTGGATGTAAAAAAATTAAAATCCATGCACATGAGGGATTCTTTAAAAATTTCATAGAAAATGTGCATTATGAAAAAACTATGCATGTATTTCAAACATTTTTGCATCAATATAATTTTTAAATTCCATTTCCCACAAACTATTCAAAACACCCTCATAAGCTTCCAAATTAAGGAAATTTGCTCTAGGATATTTTCTCCCAAAATTTTGTTATGATTTAACAAAATGTCCAACTATTGATCTACTAAAGCGGAACCACATGTATGAATCATAATCATAGCAGATACCATACTCCACAAACATAAAAGACTACAAAGTAAGTATCTGCAACAGTCCAGAGAGGCTTTTCAAGGCACCTGACAGTCAAGTGCGTGGCCTTGTTTACAGAAGCTCCTGCCGCTTCCTGGTTTCCTCTTTGAGGGCTGTACGGATGGTACACATTACACAACAACATAGGAAACACCAGCTGTCTCTAAAGCCAGCCAGGGAAGGCCTGGCCAAAGCCTCCTGGGGGCTGCACTCCCACCACCTAGCTAGAAACATATTCTAGGGACACCTCTCAGGTTTCCAGATCTTTGTCATCAGGAGCAAAACAGAGCAGGAGAAACGGATGGATCACTTTTTTTTTTGACAGGCAGAGTGGACAGTGAGAGAGAGAGAGACAGAGAGAAAGGTCTTCCTTTGCTGTTGGTTCATCCCTCAATGGCTGCTGCAGCAGGCGTGCTGCGGCTGGCGCTGCACCGATCTGAAGCCAGGAACCAGGTGCTTCTCCTGGTCTCCCATGCGGGTGCAGGGCCCAGTCACTTGGGCCATCCTCCACTGCACTCCCGGGCCACAGCAGAGAGCTGGCCTGGAAGAGGGGCAACCGGGACAGAATCCGGCGCCCGACTGGACTAGACTGTGTGCGGCGCGCAGGCGAAGAATAGCCTATTGAGCCGCAGCGCCGGCCCTGGATCACTTCTTTCCTTTTTCTGGCTGAGAACAAAATCATCAGTAGGCCTTCCAAAACGTGTTTACGAGACCTTCAAACCATCCTGTGCCAGGTGATGTCAATTCTCGGGGTGGGTGGGTCATTACAATGCCGGCAGAGAACCCAAAGCTATGAACTCCTGCACAGGGTATTTGCCTCTGAGGGCAGAGCTCAACCCAGCTGCAAAGATGGAAACCCACCCAGGACCCGCAGCTTATCTCACAAACGAGCAGTGAAAACCCAGACTCAGATCCCCAGAGGGAAGGGCCAACATACGTCAATATTCCTTTTCTCTAGAGAGAGCGTGGCGATCATGGTCGTCATGCAGTTTCCCCCCAGGCTGTCTCTCAGGACACTGGTCATCATGGAGTTCCTATAGGGGATGTGGGAACGGTGTTTTTCCGAAAGGGCGATGATAACCTGAGGTAAAGCAGAAAATGCACACATGACAAACAACTTCAACAGCAGAAAAAACAGAAACTATAGCTACATGGAGGGTAACACCCAAAACAAGGGCATAGAATAAGTATTTAACAATAATATTTGGTATGAATGTGGTCAAGATGGAATAAAGTAAATGTAGCATAAATATAGCACTGTGAACCCTGTAATTTTTGGACACATGAAATAATGTGTATAGAATTGGATGGACTATTATTCTGTTTTCAACTGTTGGAACATTTTTACAAAAACACAAGAGTTAATCATGCCTAATTAACTAAAAATTTTTAAAAATCAATTGTTTACTTGAAAGAATTACAGAGAAGGAGAAGCAGAGACAGATACAGACAAAGAGAGAGAGACAGAGACAGAGAGATCTTTCTTCTGCTGGTTCACTCCCCAAATGGCCGCATTGGCCAGGTCTGGGACAGGTCAAAGCCAGGAGCCAGGTGTTTCATCTCGTTCTCCCACATGGGTACAAGAGCCCAAATACTTGGGACATCTGCTGCTGCTTTGCCCAGGACATTAGCAGGGAGCTGGATAGGAAGTAGAACAGCTGGGATTTGAACTGACATCCACATGGGATGCCAGCATTGCGGGCGGCAGCTTTACCCACCGTACCACAACACCAGCCCTGCCTGAAATTACTTTAATTCCTCCAAACTGTGTTGTATGATCCATCTTCAAGGTAGAAGAGGCAGAACAATAAATAAGGAGTATGGGAAGTAGCAGAGGATGTGTCGCTCCCCCATTCACGGAGGAACGACACTAAACCCTGCGCTGTTCTTTTGTCTGCTCGGCTCTTCCCGGGTTAGCTGCTGGTCCTTCCCAGGTTGGCTGCTGTCCCTCCACCTCCGTGGAGTGGCGACTCCCCCTGCCACTTTCCCCACTTCCGCGGGGGAGCGGCACACCGCCGGCCGGCTCTCTCAGGGGCTGCTCAGGTGTTCCTTCAGATAGATGTTCCCGGTGCATGTTGTCTCTCTCCTCCTTTATAGTCCTCTTCCGCCAATCCCAACTCTGCTACCCACACGCCGAGTACGCTGCTCTCCTCCAATCAGGAGCAGCTCCTGCAGCTTGTCAAGTTGGTGAGAGGCAGCTGTGTAGAAGCTGTTTACTCCTCTCCCAGCGCCATATTGTGGGAGAGCAGATGCACAGAATAAGTCTTAATTCCAGTAACTTAGTCTAGTCCGAGTTGCTCCCCACAAGGATGGAGGTTGAAAGCCCAGATCCTGTACAAGATTGTCTAGGGGCAAGTTCTTGTCATACTAGGGCATGCCCCTCAGCATCTCTGCCTCAGGCTTTTCCTCTGTAAGACAGTGATGAAAGCAGCCTCCAACTATAGGTAGTTGGGATTGTTAAAAAAGCTAAAATGTGCCAGTTATTTTGAGTTATAACTATCCCATAATAAGTGCTTTATAGGTTTTTTTTAAGATTTATTTATTTATTTGAAAGGCAGAGTTACAGAGAGGCAGAGGCAGAGAGAGGGATCTTCCATCCACTGGTTTACTCCCCAAATGGCCATAACGGCCGGAGCTGCGCCAATCCGAAGCCAGGAGACAGGAGCTTCCTCCGGGTCTCCCATGTGGGTGCAGGGGCCCAAGGACTTGGGCCATCTTATACTGCCTTCCCAGGCCACAGCAGAGAGTGGGATTAGAAGTGGAGCAGCCAGGACTTGAACTGGTGCCCATATGGGATGCCGGCACTGCAGGCAGCAGCTCTTACCCACTACGGCACAGTGCCAGCCCCTCTACAGGTGTTTTCTATATGTGATGGCCTGGTTCAACTCAAGCTTGCTTATCTTACTCCCCCTGAGTTTCTTAGATATTTAACAGGAAGGTACTAGATGGATGATGTTGGCTAGAATGAAAGGCTGCTGGAGTTGTCTGTAAAGGGAAGACCAAGGCCTCAGAATTATCCTGGGAAGATTAATCCAGTGCTAGGATGTCCGGTGCAAAGTAGCAGGAATTGTCCACTCACAGAATGTGTCTTCAGGGACCCCAGAAGGTCCTGGCTTCTGAAAATGCCTCTGCCAACACCTACCATTGTTCTAGTCTTTTCTCCTCCCAGGTATGTTAGTCCCATCACCAGAACCTCTTATAAAACAAGATGGGAGCATTGTTTTTTGAAGGCTATTTGAACAAAAACATCCAACTCTCTTGCTAGTCTTGATTTAAATGCAGGACCACAGATGTCACTACAAACCAGCAATTCCGTGATCTCTATCAAAAATCACCTTTTTCTCCAAACCTCTATCCAGCCTCGTCTCTCCCCAGCTTCAGTTTGAGCCGATGACCACCTTCCCACTAGATGCACCAAGGCTACTCATGCTTCTAAATGCCCTGGGCGCACTGCCCCTCCTTCTGCTACTGTCCACCCTCTCCCACTTCTGCTCTCATCTACTTTGCTCCCACACTCACCGCCTCTCTCTACTGCACCAAATTCTCTCATCTGGATTGCTCCCATTCTGACAGTAAACTAAGAAGGCACCTACCAGGGTCACCAGCAACCTCTTTATACCAAGGACATAAACCATCGTCTGATTAGGCTTTTGAGTCCATCATTCCACACAGGTATTCAGCATGTTCTCTAGGAAACACCTTGCCCATTTGCCAATCACAGTGCCACACTCTCCAGGTTTTCCTCTTTCCGCAAAAACGAATCGATGAATGCTTGCTTTTCTTCTTCCTACATTATAAGACAAGGAGTGCTCCAGGGCACTGGATCCTCTTTTACTTTATTATCCAATTCTCTCCCTACGTAATCTCATCCTATCCCCTGGCTTTTAAAAAGTGCAGTGTGTGTTGACCACATGTCAATTTATAGTACCAGGAGGCTGGTGCTGTGGCGCAGAGGGTTAAAGCCCTGGCCTGAAGTGCTGGCATCCCATATGGGCACTGGTTTTAGTCCCGGCTGCTCTTCTTCCGATCCAGCTCTCTGCTATGCCCTGGGATAGCAGTAGAAGATGGCCTAAGTCCTTGGACCCCTGCGCCCACGTGGGAGACCTGGAAGAGGCTCCTGGCTCCTGGCTTTGGATCAGCCCAGCTCCAGCCATTGTGGCCATCTGGGGAGTGAACCAGCAGATGGAAGACCTCTCTCTCTCTGTCTCTACCTCTCTCTGTAACTTTTTCAAATAAATAAAATAAATCTTTAAAAAATTTATAGTACCAGTCTCAGCCTTTTCCCTGAGCAGCTGTCTTTGTGGAAACTGCCTCCACCTGGGTTTCTGTTCCTGACTTTCTCTTCCCCTCTCCCTCCAAGCCTGACTTCCTTGCAGGCCTTCCTCATCATTATTAACAGCACCACATCCACTTAGCTGCTGAGGCCAAAACCCCAGGCCTCGCCCTGAGCCATCCTCACCTCCAAGATCCAACCCACTGGCAATTTCTCTCAGGTTTTCCCATAGAACTTAACTGAAGATTGGGCCACTTCTTGTCGCCTCTCCCCACCTCTCTGGCGTGGCCTCTGTGGTCCCTTGCTTGGACAACTTCCCAAGGTTTTCAGTGAGTCTCTGACTGCTTTGTAGGATCTGTTCTCTTTATGCTGCCAGAGGGATCTTTATAAATCGTGAGCTTCATCTGGTCATTCCCCTGCTTACAACTTTCGAGCAGCTTCCCAGTACACTTGGTATCATAACCCAGCTTCAACAGAGCCTCACCTGCTGCATGACCCTCTTTCCTGCACTGGCCTTCCTGCTATCGGCCCAACGTGCCAAGCTTGGCCCCACATCACAGCCTTGGAACTTGCTATCCCTTTTACCCACAATGCTTCTGTCCCAGATTTTTGCACAGCTTCCTGCTTCGTGTCATTCCAGTCTTTGCTCAAATGTTGTCTCCTGGTCAGTGCTGTGGCTCAGCGGGTTAAAGCCCCGGCCTGCTGCGCCAGATCCCATAGGGGCGCCTGTTCAAGTCCCAGCTGCTCTGCTTCTGACCTCGCTCTCTGCTATGGCCTGGGAAAGCAGTAGAAGATGGCTCAAGTCCCTGTACCCCTGAACCCATGTGGGAGACCCAGAAGAAGCTCCTGGCTCCTGGCTTCAGATCAGCTCAGATCCGGCCATCGCGACCATCTGGGAAGTGAACCAGTGAATGGAAGACTCTTCTCACCCCCTGTCTCTACCTGTCTCTGTAACTCTGTCTTCCATATAAATAAAATAAATCTTTAGACAAAACAAAAAAAGTATTGTCTCCTAACAAGGGCTTTCCCTGAACACCGCATCAAATCTTACACCCTAGTCTCTAGGCCAGCACTCTCTTTTCTTCTAACACTTATACGCTATTTTAAATTATATTTATTTGCTTGCTGTCAACTGCTTCCGGATAGACTTTCTACTCTGCAAGGCCAGAGGTGTTGTCCCTCCTTCTCAGCTCTAGCCCCATGGCCTAGAACAGTGCCAACATGCGGCAGAAACTACATGGCTTCACTCAGCTCTTATGATCATCTCATTCTGGTCTGACTTCGGGCAAACTCCGTTTCCTACCCTCTCCTGCAACTCATGCAGTGGGGTTTTGGGGGTGAGCTATGAGAGGGAATGGCCATAAAGAGGATTTGGTCTGTGGGAGAACAAGGTAGCTGAGGTATCTGGTTCTTCTGAGGCAACTGTGGGGAAGTTTCTGGAATCCAGAACTTCAAGCCCCAGTTGGCAAGTCCTGAGTCCTATTTCACAGAGCGGGTCATTGGTGTTAGAAGTGCATTCCTGTTTGCTCTGCTCCCAGCTGGGTAGCATCCAAGCCCGGTCTGCTGACTTTTCTTTAGAGTCTTTATATTTAACAAACTCTATGCTGCTTAAAATAGCTACAGTGCACTAATAAATTTGGCTAATACAACATGTGCTCAATAAATTGTTTTAGATGAATGAATGAGTAGATGGATTAGTTTTACCTAGGGAGGCCCTTACTGTGGGATGAGATTTGGGAGAATTCAGTTTCCATGTAACTGGAAAGGAAGTGGGGAATATCACAGACCCAAGTCTGAGTGGAAAGGGA